TTTACTATTTCTTGATATCGACCGATGTTAAAACGTCGTGACAGAAACCATTTCTGAACCTGATTTTGTTACCAGTTTCCTTTTTACCTTCTTTATTCGTGAAAGTGATTTTATCTTTAGCTGGAATCGGTTGGAAGAACATGTTTTTGGGATAGTCAAACCACACTGTTAAAATAGCTGTTCTAGGTCTGAATTTTTGTTTATTGAAGAGTTTTACAAATTCTTTTTCTTCTTCTGGTAGAAACGGTCTTCCACTTTCCGCTCTCGGATATTCACTGTCTAAATCCGACATGGCGGAAGCGTATAAACCGTTAGCATCAAATGCCATTAGTTTAGTACATTCTATTTTTTTAAGTCTCGAATGAACCTCCGTTTTGTCTTTTGTGCTTGCGCTGTATTCTTTGATTAAATCAATTATGTTATTACTTTCTGTTTGCGAAATATATTCCTTTAATACGTTACAAATTTCATCCATTTTGTTCGTTTCAAATGATTTTCTATTTGCCGAAACTCTTCCTCCTTTAATAGATCGTCTGATAAAATTTCTTATAAAAGGATTTGTATGCGAATAAACTTTTTCTATATTTTCTTTTTCGATATGTTTCGCAACCATTCTAGTAGTTTTATACCATTCTTCTTCCACCGTTTCTTTATCGTAATGATATAAATAATACCAACCCTTTAAAGATAAAGATGGAGCCGTTAGATTATTGGACATATTCTGGTTTACAACTTCTTTCGTGACTTGGTTGTATTTTATCAAACAAGCTCCCAAACAGAGAGTGTCTCTCTTGGCGTAAGGTTCCCATTCGTGTCTCAATTCCTCCCAGGTGTCTTGCGTGTATTTAGCGATATCTACGTCGGCAATCTTTCTCAAATTCGCGGGAAGATTGGAAGAATTTCCCCATGCAGCCAAACTAGAGGATTCGTGTTGATAGGAACACGTGAAATTAATATGTTGTAAATAATTACCCTTTATTTCTTTCTGTCTTTTCCATTTTTTCTGTAAATCTTCATCCGTGTATGGATTAGATAAAGGAAAAGATAGAATTCCTCTGGGTGTTTTTAAAGGGCAATGCGTTAGTTTTTTTGCATTTTTAAGCACGATCCAGTTGTCGAATCCACTGCCGTTATGAGAAATTAATATTAATCTCTTTCTATCATATTGACCTAAATATTTCAACATTTGATCGATGCAATCTGTACCTACAAATATTTCTACTATATTAGTCATGAGTTTGTTGTAAATTCTTCTGGAAATGGGATCTGTAGGCTTTAAATCTGGAAATAGATTATTTATTCTGTTTAACATTTTTCTTAGTTTTTCCAAATTGACCAAAGTGCAACAATATGGAATTGCTCTTCGCGTGTCTTTTTCTGAATACGTTTCGCAATCCCAAGCGAATAACGCATCAACACTCATACTCGAAAGCACGTTTAGTTTGAGGGGTGAAACCTGTGTTACTGCGTTATCGTCTCTACACGTTTTCCACACCTTTTCTTAATTGTCTTCTATTTCTTGAATTCCCAAACTTTTTTGGCTTCTTCTAATCAGACAGAAATGCGAGTTGTGTAAGTAAAAAACCCAATCTAATTCATCGTGAACGTCTCTGGGGTGAAAATGTCTGTTTTTGGGATTATAAATTTGAAACGAAGTGTTAAATTTCTTGTTGAATTCCTTCATTCTAGTCATCACTCCTTTTCTATTTGCTTTTGAAAACCCGTTGATGTATTCTTGAAATTTACACGTTAAATCTTTGTTCAAAACACGATTGACGCATTTGATAAAACAGTGACCATCTGTAGGTATGTAACAATTTTCGCCTTCGTATTCATTTATCTTTTTAAGTAGATCAGTTCCTCCTCTACCAAGTCTCGATCTTTTTATTTCTTGGAAATTGTCTTTCATTAAAATTATTTTTCCTGTAAATAACCAATCGGAAGCATCAGATTTTTTGTCCATATTTGAAAAGATATTGTGAAAAGTTTTGGCATTGAAACAGAGGAGTGACATGTATTGTCTGTGATTCCCTTCCTCGACTATCTCTCCATCTATTTTAATTTGTCCTTTGAATGTTTTAAATTTATCAGAGATAGCCTTGATAACATCGGAAAATAGGGCGTTTTCTATCAATGTTTCATCAAGTTCGATTTTATTCATATTTGTTTAAGTATATATTTTTAATTATTTCTTTATTTTGACCGCTGATATTTCTGTATGGAATTTGTCCAAAATTTCATTGAATTCTTGTAATTCTTCAACTGTTATGTTCTTGTCTTCTCTCGATCTTTCGAAAAAGATGTACAATTGATTAAGATACATATTCAAGATATCCGTTTTCTTTTTATAATGAGCTTTTTTTTTGCTCGTGAAACCTAAAGTGATGAGACCGCAAGAGGTCGTTTGAACGGCTGTTAATGCAGCCAATACGGTTGGGACGATGACCGGAAGCATTAATCCACCAGTCACGGCCGTTGCCACCGTTACTCCTACCGTTAGAACTGTGCTCGCTGTTTTGAAAAAAGAATCGATTCTACTCCATGTTTTCCTGCATGTATTACACTGTCTCAACTTTATTTTCAACTCTTCTTGTTTGTCAATCATGTATTGTTGTCTGCTTTCGAGTTTCATTTTTAAGTCGTTAAATTAAGTGAATTTCCGATAAATGGAACCACGGAATATCATTTAGATTCCCTATTCCATTCCTAACATTATTATATTTGTGGGTATTAAAAGTAAAAACATTTACGCGTACTAACGACATTTCTTTTTTCGTATGGTCCTCGTTAAGATGATAGGAATATTTTATTTTTTCTTTTTCGATGTTTATCTTGGCTCTACAAATAAAACCACCACCTTCAAGGATGGAACCTTCGGCAAACGATAAATGTACTATAAACTCTCTTTCTTGTTGACTTTTATGAACATCGATCGAGGTGTATTTTCCATCGTAAACAAAATACAGTTTTACGTATTCAAAATCTGTTGTTCGTAAAAACTCGTGACTGCTCGATTCTATTGGTCCGGGTATTATAAGTGATGGTGGAATTTTGACAATGTTGGTTAATGGTGGATATTCCGTCTCCAATATCATATCCAAATCTTTGATTTCAATGACATACTTATCATTTTCTACTTCCATTTTAAAGGTGTCTACATATTTACCATTTTTCGTTTCAATTTCCTGATCCCTTTTATCAATCAAACGTATATTCTCTTCCAAATTACCATCATTGAATAATGAAATATGTTTGACGGCATTACCAGTTTGTTTGAAGACTACTTTATTGACTTTAACCTTCATGGGAAACTCTATTTGAATCAGACAATTACCTCGAAAAGTAAACGCTTGCGTTTCGCCGATATCGAATACGTTTTTAGGTTCTCCGTATTCGAGAGAACCCACTTTTATTTCTGCTTTGAATCCGTATTTGTTTGATTTATAAATTTGGTCTTTTCTATCGAAGACAGTGTCACTTTCGAATGGAAGATTGAAATAATACGATTTGTCCGTGACAATAGCTTCTAATTTGCTCAACTTTCTCTTTTGTCTCAAAAAATCGTCATGAATTCTAGATACCAAAAGATTGACCTGTTCTTTAATATAATTTTTCATATCATCTCGAAATTTATTTTGAAGAAAGTTTTTAATCACACCCACTTCTTTTTCTAATTCGTCCGTGATTTTAGTATCCAAAGCAGTCAATTGTCGTTTCAACGTATCTTTGTCAATGGGAAGTGTGTTAATTATATCTTGAACATCTGATTTTTGCTTCGCGATCTTTTCGTTCAAATTGGATATCGAATTTTGTAACTCGGTTTTGTCCGCGGTCTTGTCTAGTTCTGCTAACAATTCGCCATGTTTTCTTTCCAAAGCGGTTAGTTTTCGTTTTAATCTATCCTCGTTTACATTTGGGTTATCTATTANACGTTGGACGTCTATTTTTACCTTCGTAAATCTATCGTCTAATTTAGATATTAAATTTTGCAACTGACTTGTTTTATCCAGAATAAGACGTTTCAAACTCGTTAACTCTTGTTGTAGTTTGGGTTCGTCCACAAGATTTTTAATATTTCGTCTGATGAATCTTTTCACGTCATTTATTCTATTTTCAACATGGTCCTTATCTATTTGAATTGCGTTTATTTGATCCAGTAAATATTTCTTGTTCACGGCATCGTTATCGATTCCTGGAAACTTTAAATTAGAAATTGTTCATATCGATATCCCCTTGTAAGGTGTCTCCGATTTGATCCACGAAAAAAGGTTTCGCTTTGTTTATAAAGGCCGTAGAACTCATGGGATTTTTAGATTCTAGAGGTAAAGACCCTAATCCAAACTTGTTTGCCGTTTTTATTGAGTTAAATTTATTATAATTTCTTCAAACTTTTCTCCCAAACTCAACCGATATAAAACCCAAAGCGACAGCTGTCCACACAGCTTTTGTCCTGGCATTTGAATTTGAAACGTAGAACATTTGATTGGTTTACTAGTCAATTTCGTTATCTCTTCTGTCGGTTCTAGACCGAAAGAATCAAAGAAATAAAAGTTATTCGAAGAATCTTTGTGTAGAGCAGAGTGATGAACTCCTTTTTGATCCGAAGTATGAATGTTTGTGATGGCGTAAAATTTACCTTTCTTGTATTTCAGTTCATCAATTTCATCTCGCATGCAATAATAAAACGGCGAGACGTTCAACTCCTTGGCCCATTTCACAAGTTGAAAATTTGTGGTCGTGTCTTTTCCGTATTTATCGAGAAACGCATTCATTTTTTAAGTTGATTTTTTTTAGGTGTTTTTCGAAGTGGGCGGTAGGTATTGCTGAAGACCCAATTGACGAAATATATACGTAGTTTGTGTTTGAAAAAACTTGTATAACATTCTGATAAAACACATTCAATAATATTTTGAAGATAAATTTACATTTAAATTTAAAAAATCTTAATTTAAGAGAGCGTAAATGCTTGTCGACATCTAAATTTCTTAACCTTTCATCTAAATCTTCATTTTCGAGATTCATTTTTAAAAGTCAGTTTTTTGAAGTTCATTTTGATAAAACCTTCCTATGATTTGTTCTTTGTCTTGATCGATCAATTCATACGTGGGAGGTGATGTGTTGTTTACTTTATCAACGATGAATATCTCGTTAGTCCAATAGCCGACGTAACCTTTCTGAAACAATGATTTATATTTAAAAATACGAACTCGATCTCCAACTTTGAATTTGGGTTTAATATTCAAATTGCTAATCTCGTTTTCAAAGTTGTTTCGAGTGTTGACGGACTTAATGATATTCGGGTTATTAGAGGATTGGGATGGCGACACACCTATAGACGAATGTATTTTTTTTATTGTATTCGTCGACAACAACTGGTAATATTTTAAGCCATTTTTGAGATTTCAATTCCGTGAATTTCTTGAATAATTTGCTTTTAAGAGTCCTGTTGAATCTTTCTATCACTACGGCTTTACCTTCGTTATGCGTGCTGTAAATTTCAAACCCCAGAGATTTCACATTTCTGTTGTAGAATTCGCTTCCTTTATCAACCCACAACTTTAGGGGTCGTCTGTCGGATTGTTTCATTATGGTTTCGAATGCTTGTTTGACAGACCCGATTTGTTTTTCAAGGGAAAGACCCAAGCGTATCTCGTGTATATGTCGATCACCGTCAAACAATACTTGTACCCTCTCTCGACTGGCATGTTGATTAAATCGGCTGACCAAATTTCATCTTTATCAAAAACTTTGACTTTGAGGTAATGTTTGTTTTTTCGAAATTCTTTGTGAATCTCGTCTGCTATGCCCATACCCAATTTCAATTTTGCCTTCAAGAGTTTTATGATAAGAGTTCTCTGTAATTTCTCTTTGAAAGTGGGATTGGGAATATTTTCGAGTTCGTCTATCATTTGTTTGTCTGCTTGGTGTCTGAATGTTACGTCTTTGTTTCTGTACAGTATGTCGTGTTTGAGCGCTGCTGCGTCAACTCTATTAACGGGTTCTTCCCCTGGTTTGGGATTATCATTTTCGTCTAAACGCAGATCTAATCTCGTGCCTGGACCTGTATAATTGTGGCCTGGGAGATGTTTTTCTCCGGGATATTTTGCCCATGGGAATCCAGGAAGAGAACCCAATGACTTTTGAATGTCTCCCGCGCCGAAATACGTTTTAGGAGGATGGACATTTATTAAAGACATATTTGTTCAATAATGAAATAAACACTATATATTTTTAATACGAAAGATTTAATACAAGGAGAAAGCGATAGAAATGATTCACTTTATGAAATTTTTTTTTAAATATTTGGATAGGATGTTTTCGGATTATTGTAAAAGTTTCGAGGAGAAAAAAAAAGAGACTAATAAAAACTGTCTACAACCTGATAAGGAAAACAAGGATTTTGATATGTATAAAGGGCGTTTTAGTATGCTCTGTATTTTTCATTAATTATTCCATCTAATGAAGGGATAATAGGAATCTGATTGAGTTATTTTAACAGTTCAAGATGTCGGACAAAGGAATCTATCTTCAAATTTGTGTTTCTGAGACGAATTACCAGTGAATTTCTATGTTGACCTATATAACAATTACGTATTTACTTCCTTGTGTGATAATGTAGTCTCTCTCTATATATCATCTCCAAAATCACTACAGATTCATTATTTTTAACAGTTCAAGGTGTCGGACAAAAGGAATCTATCTTCAAATTTGAGTTTTTGAGATGAATTACTAGTGTATTCTATGTTGACCTATATAGTCAACAATTGCGTATTTACTTCCTTGTGTGATACTCACTACACACCCTTTGTTAATTCTCTGAGACTTTCGAATATACTTTTCGCTCTGAGGTATTGACAAAACAATAACAGAGTAGCCCTTCTGTTTATTCTACAGAATCATTTATCATAATATGAAATGAAAGGTATTGACAACAGTTATCATTCTGTTTATTCTACAGAATGTTTGATTACTTTTCGATAATATGATAAAATTGATATACACCAACAAGTAACGCGACAGTTAACCAATGACGGGTAAGATCCTCCAGAAGGGGGGACAACCTAAGACAGGTGCTGTCGGGCTTGAATTGGGTGGAGTTGATATACAACGTCATCAAGTAACGCGACAGTTAACCAATGACGGGTAAGATCCTCCAGAAGGGAGGGCAACCTAAGACAGGTGCTGTCGGGCTTGATTGTAGAATTACTACCAAAAAAGGGCATTAAGTTCAATACCTAAATGGAGGTGATCACAAGTAAGAAAAATATGGTTTTGTTGACTTTATAGGTTTAATATGGACTCTCAGTCAATCATCTCATAAACATTAAATTTGGAGAGAGATTTCCAATGTTTGATCATTTAAAACTGTTGAATTTCTTTATCTGTAGTGATAAAAATTCATGCACCCTTTGTTAATTCTCTGATACTTTCGAATATGCTTTTCGCTCTGAGAATTAACCTTTAAGGGGAATACATGAAATTGAAGATGTTGAATATCCCTTCTGTTTATTCTACAAGACTTTCGAATACTTTTCGATTAGTAGAATTACTACCAAAAAAGGGGATAAAGTTCAATACCTATTTGGAGGTGGTAATAGATGAATTAATCACAAAAATATGGTTTTGTTGACTTTATAGGGTTAACATGGACATTCACTCAATCATCTTAGAAACATTTAATTTGGAGAAACAGTTCCAATGTTTGATCATTTTGAATTGTTGAATTTCTTTTTTCAGTTTGTTCCCATGATTCCCTTCTACAGAAAGAATAATTGATAGAAAAAAACATTCCATATCCCTTATTCCATCAAAATGGCTTTCTTTTTTCAACATATAAATTAAACCAGTCCACGCTTTATGTTTACAAAAATTAATTGTGGTCTTTTTTTTTCAAAGAAGAGTTACCTCGCTTTAATAAAGGGAAGGAAGTGTTGATAAACATCCAGACCACATCTATCCAATAATTTTAAAACCATTGACTTTTTTTATTTCGCATTCCTCTTAATTGGCCACTTTGGGGATGAGAGATGTTAGCGCAGAGAAGAAACCGTCTCCTTCGAATTTTTTTTGTTCGTGTTTTAAAATTAAAGACATTTTTAATGCGGTTATTTTATACTGTATTATTATAGTGATTCTTGTCTGTGGTTTGGGTAATTTATATGGAGACTGTTATAATGCAGTTTGGGGGAGTTTGTTATAATACATTTTAACAGTTTGGGGAGTCTGATATAATACATTTTAGCAGTTGTGTCTTTTCGGATATGATGCATTGAAAAAGCTGCGCATGCGCAGAAGTGAAATGCGTCATATCCGAAAAGACATATACTACTGATGGAAAGAAATTGTTTTCTAACGTTGTATTACTTTGTGGAACTTGATTCTGAGTGGCTTCTTTAATTTTGAAATCACATCTGAAATAAGCATCGGAAAGAAGCAACCAATTCGATAATGAATTTATTTCGAAGGTAATTCTACCACCATCATTCAATTGGGATTTAGAACCAACAGTGGGTGAGATGATAATATAATTCTCTTTTTTCTTGTTAAATGAATAACGAATTGGATCATATAATCTAAAGATTGGATCTAGTATTTTATTTGCCATTTTTAAGGTTTAAAATTTGCTTTTTTTGATGGAATGTAGGAAATTGATTGAAGGTGTTTTTGGTGTATGAAATGTGGGGGGTGTAAGAATTTATGAAATATAGGGAATATAGGTGTAAGAATTTTGGTCTTTTGCTGTAAGAATTTATGAAATATGAAATGTAGGATGTTTAGATCTTTATGGGAGCTTTCAATTAGATTTTAGCCATGAAATGAAATGGAATGAAATGGGGAATCCCCATGAAAAGGAGAAAACCCATGAAAAGGGGAATTCCTTATGCGACCAATATGAGCGAACAAATTGAAAGCTCATATACTACTATTTTTATCGGAAAGACTGATTCGGAGTGCAAATTCAGTTACGCTAGGCAAACGCAGGAATGCGAATGAGTGCATTTCTTAACTTCACTTCTATTCTCTCCGATAAAAATTACGCATCGCACCCTTGGTTTGTCGCCAAATACGCAAGTATGTGCGCTGGGCTTAAGGGAGATCACAGGACTAGGCGAAGATCTCGTAATGCCGTCGTAAATCCATCGTGGATCCATCGTAATGCAATGACGATGAGACCACGGTATCGGTGAAAATGGTCATATTTAAAATGATTTGAAATGTATAGGGTGTATTCTGCTCCCGATGATTTCTTTGTTGGTGCTGACAATTCCACGGTCGGCCAAAAGTGTAATACCATCGAGAGGTCACGCAAAGACTTCGTGACCAAAGCTCATCTCATTATGTCTTCTTCATCACCAAATCAGGTGCAGAAAAGTAGGACGCAAACCTCCACTTATTTCATTTCATTTCTCGTTATGACGTCCTGTAGCAATATTCGTACTCGGGGTTATCTACCTTAAATTCAACTCATTCGTTTGGCCATCTGGTATCAATATCAAAAAAGGCAAGAAAGCGAGGGAAAAGCAGAGAAAAAGAGCGGAGAAAAAAGGCGAGGAAAAAATCGAGGAAAAGGACAAAAATGCGAGGAAAAGGGCGAATAAGCGAGGGTAAAAAAAAATTCTCGCTTTGTCGACTTCTTGTGGCCCGGAAGTTGAGGTAATATGTCCGTAGCCGGCGTCCATAATCTGTACACAGTATGACCATCATTTATTTGCCATCCACCACAGCAGTGTGCTATCATTTCCATCTCTTTTTCGAACTGCTAAACACTTGCAGTCATTTTTTAAGGATAGTTGTAGGATATTGTATGACATCAGCATCTTAATTATCAAATTGGGATAATTCTAAAGTACTAATAGAGGCTTTGATAATTGTAATTACAGACTAGGTATCGTGATGGATAAGCGATGAACTGACAGAGACCATGTGTCCAAAATACTACTTGAGCTACTTGAGCTACTTGAGCTCGGTAGTTTAGGCCGACGCCAAGGTACAAATATTATAATATGATGGCTTACGGCGGCATTGCCAGTGCTTCACGCAATGGTGGTGCCTTCGTTTGACAATAGGCCTATGATTGCTTCCTTTTTTATTCGTAAGATGAAAAATGGATAAAATGGCTCTGATGACTGGCCCACGATGGCCTGACGAAGCAGTCGACGTTAGTGTTCCACATCAGCAACGGATAAAAGTTAAAATACAATAAAAGTTTTTTTTTATGAAATGTTTTTCACAAATAGTCTGGAGAAAGTTGGGTGTTATTACTTATGAATTGATAACGTGATTTTTAAGTGCAACTCTCGTCTTCTTTGTGTTATTTGAAATATTCTGTGGTGTATATCTCTGACATTAAAGTGAATAAGATCATATCAACAGTTCAATCAAGCATGGTAGCACGACAACATATTAAAACAATTTCAACGAAAACAATTTCATTTTATAAGACATTCAAACTCTGAAAAAAACGGATTGCTCCTTTCTCTTCAACACAAAGAAAGCAATATGGAAATGTTAAGTTACCTGCTGTACTTTTTGTTTTTAAGATATTTAAATGGATGTTTTCCTGTGAAAGATTTGATAAAGACTGTATACGTTGGAGGATTTAATAATATAAATAATAAAACTCAGATTATAGCGGACGTCGATATGAACTTTTGTTTATTTAAATGTTTCGAAGACATAACTTGTAATTATGTGTTGATGTGTTCCAGTCCTATTAAACAATGTTTTCTTCTTTCTGGTGATATTGACGAGCAGCACTCGACTGACGCTGAATATGACGACTGCTACAAAATGAATATAGTAAGTAAATTCTTTACTGAATCACATTATTCTTTTGTAATTTTGTTCAAAGGGCAGTATGCAGTAAAAATCCGTAAAAGCAAGACAATTCCGTAAATCAAAATATCGTCCACAGTAAGGCAAAATCGAGGGTAAAAGTTGTATAGTGTGGAATCCTCTAAATCTGTTTTAAAAAAATGTGGTTTACATCTATGCCACAGTCTATTCGACATTGGTTTTTTTTCTGTAACATTCTCGAAAGGCTCAAACTGCTATAGACTGGTACCAATTTGACAGCTTTGTTGATGATCTCATCAAACCAATCATGTACTGAAGTATTCAAGAGGACGTTAAAAATTATAAAAATTTACCGATAATATGGACCATAGATTTCTATACTCATATTGTCAGCTCTGATATTGGCACGAAAGATATCGAAACGATGTACCGATAGTATGTCGTATCGTATTGTACAGTGTTTTTTTCTTTCCAATTAAAGTGGATACCCAACATTCGTGTTTTGTGTTTTATTTTATCATTCTCATTTCAGGAAAGGTGTTATAATTGTGGGATTTATTTTAATAACATTTGTCAATGTATCGGTAATTATACTAGTGATAAATGTGAGTCACATTATTTCCTTTTCATAAAACGTAGTGCGTCAGAATCATAGTCAGTATAATTGATGATTACAGGAACACACTCGACCGTATCTTATCCTATACTTAAAGTAGAATTTCTACTGGATGAATTTATGATTAATGATAAATTGAAAATGGAATGTGGATGTATATTGCCTCGTGGGTCCGTCCGTTCACATTCTTTATGGGCACAGTATGTATCTGAAACTTAGTATGTATGATCTTGGTCAAGTTCGTATTAATTTGGTAATGATCGGATGCACGGTTTCGAAGTAATTGCCCTTGATTAAGTAAATACGCGCCGAATTTGGCTTGTAGACATGATAAGAGGCAACATTTTTATATGATTTTAATGAAACTTGGTATGCATGTATATGTTGATGCGATCTTTGTTTGAATTAAGTAATACTAGGATTCACAGTTTTATAGTTATTGCCTTTGACTACGTAAATTTGGCCTGTAGATTCGATAGAGGCTATAGAGTATATTGATGAGATCTCTATCAAGTTTAAATTTTATAATTGAAGTTATCGCCTCCAACATAGAAAAAAGTTATTACAAACTCACCAAATTTGGCGTGTATAGACACGATAAGTGTCGATCAATCTTGATGAGTTTGTGTAATAATTGCATGAACTATAAATATATAAAGAGAGAGACTACAGTGTCCAATTTGTGTTATATCTTGATGAGTATGGAGGTCAATTTGCGCCATTAATCCATGCTCTACCGATTTGTCAAAGACAAATGTAAAATATCTTATTACCTATTACTTATAATTCAAACAACATAATAATTGAAAGGCTAAAATCAAATGTTTATATTCATATGTAACTTAACTAAAGTCCATTTAAATGATTCATTTAGCATCTTCCAAAAATCTTAAACGATACACCACCGTCATTATTTGATAAATACGAAAAGTATATTTTCATCTGTAAAGTGTCATTTGTAAATGGGAAAATGTTTGTAGTAAAGTGATAAGTGAAACTTCTTTTGTGTATTTATGTCTTCTGTTTTATCTCAAATGAATTATCTTTTATCAAAATAACTATAGTCGCGACGCTATTGAATATTCAGCATTGCTATGTATATTTTTTATTTTAACAATGACTGCTCTATGGTGACCCATCGTTATAAACTAAACTTGCCTCATCATTTCAACTTCAAAAACGCGCAGCGAGAAGTATCCTTGACGTGAATTTTGATGCAAGATCGACAGACTTGTTTTCTAAATTAAATTGGTTTACTCTTGAACAACGACTTTAATTTAACACTGAAATACTTAAATTACCTATATTTACAATCTTCCATTTCAACTACCCCTCTCAGTCTACGTTCAGAAATAAACAATTCCTTGCACATTCCAAAATGCCACCCCGAGGCGATAAAAAGAACGTTTAAATATGAGGCAAGTTCACTTTGGAATTCGTTACCTCAATCTCTTAAATTGTCTTCATTTCAAAGATAGACAAAACTCTACTTTTATCTATCATGAACTATTTTCATCCTAAATACATTCATATTGTTTTGTATCATTTTTGTAGTTTTGTATCATTTATATAGATTTGTAGCATTTTTTGTTGCCCTGTTCGTTTAGTTATATATATACACAATGTTACTATGTTTGTATAAATGTTATTTGTAGTCGGTAGATTCCAGAGAAGATTACCTTTGGTAACTGGATTTCTTATAAAGATTTATTATATTATATTATAATGGCGCAAAATGACCTCCATACATGAGAACATGTTTATGCATAAAATTTGATGATTACTACAAATTCATTAAGACGATCTTAAATATGAGAAAATTTGTATTTTAGTCACTTATTGCTCTGTTATCATTTCTGACAGCTGCCGGTGGGCGTATGTTATTTTGCCAGGTAAAGTATATATATGATATTAGTAGGCCTATCACTGACAATATTTTTGCAATTGTGCATATTTTCTGCTTCCGATCAATACCTAATGCTTCAATAATAAGATATTGTTTGATAATGTGCTATTCATAGTTGTTTCTTCATCTACAGGTCAATGTAATTCCGGGAATTTGTGGTCACTGATATTGTCTGTGCTGTCCAATAGTTCAGTGGATTACGGGACAGGACAAGAGCTTTACAACTCGGTTAATGCTGGTAATGGTTTAAAAGTTAGTATTATCAATGGAAATCCAGAATACACTACTATCTACAGCATAGAACACTCTGGTGCTTCGGTATCAAACAATATTTGGGCAATTACAATAGAAAATGTTAAACTCAATCATCTGAATACAACTGATAGTTTCTTAGCACGGCACAGACTTGAAATAAGCTCAGCACAACCATACGCTTCTGAATGGTCTATGACTTTCAATGACAGAAAAGAAAGCGTTGTATATTTTGAGAACTTTGCGATAAAATGGTTCCAGGAGAATAAAATTGGATCATCTCCTTGCTTAGAAATGAAAAATGGCAATGTAATAATAGGGTCCATGACTAATTGTCTAAAAGATATAAACAAAGGAGCGGACATGTATCTCAATGAGGAGAAACGCACAAATACTAAAGCAACATCGGTTTTGTCTACTGCGACTTATTTGGTTGGCTATAGATACCCTATACCGGCTCATCGAAAGTTAGCAGATGTTTATTACTTTTCTAAACCAATTTATACCATAAACAATATAGAGTTTAGTCATTGTATGAACAAATATTTGAGATGGTCTGTTGGCTCTGCCAAATACTTAGAAAACTACACAACAGCTTCCCTTTCTCAGTGGCTTACAGATAATTGTTGGATAGAGAGCGCTTTCATTTCAGATTCTGGATACATTATATCTGGTTCAATATTACACTTACTAGAATCACTTAAGAATGGAATACCAATTAAAGTTGGATATAATAATTATATTTCTAATATTAAAGATGTCATAAGTATAAATAAAACAACTGTCATAGCCGTTATTGAAGATATTTTTGGACGATTTTAATCTAATTGAGGGTATTATGATTCGTCGTATGGTATCTACATCTGGTTTAATAGTATCTGTATCTCACATCTTGGAACAAACCTCAACTAACATTTCAACCATTGAAACAGGCGGAACAAGGTGGTATGTTGAAAGTAGACAAACGTGGGAGAAGATACTGACGTTTGATGGGTCGAGAGATGTGGTATATGGTTCGAAAGATCAAGTTTATGATGCAGCTGTTAATGGATCAGGGTTTAGAATCGTTATAGAACACAGTGAATCTGTTTATCGATATGCTCCCATAGACATTGTACATGTTTATAACACAACATTTGTAGTTCTAGAAACAGGAATAATATCATCTATTGAGTTTGATGGTGATGAATACAGGTCATTTCAATGGGATGGTTTCTTATCAACAAATGGTGTTTATGAAACAGTGAAGTGGACAACTGGCTCTGATCTTTTACAATGTAGAACCATAGTAAATTACAATAGACTTGATGTATTTATTCAGAATTAAGATTTTCTTCGTTTCAATCTTAAATTCCTGTTTGGTCGGTGATTTTATTTGTATCATTTCTTTCAAATCAATACAATGGTCAAACACTCCAGAAGATACATTCTTAATAAATTTTTGATTTTTAATGAAATGGTGTATCATTAGCCATGCCTGAGAATTAACGTAAATTCCCATTAAGAGGAGGATTAATCCAACACCCCCGGACACACAATTCTGTTTTAACGAAACATCGGTCATAAGATGTGCAGTCAACAAAATTTCAATATTTTGCATAATCCATTTTCGGTTATTTTACAGAAAAGGATATATGCGTAACCTAAATGTTATGCAAATCTATTCTAGCATTGCAGCATTTGACTCTTTTAGGATGTGTGAAAGCAGTTTTTTTCTTGACTCCCGTGGATTCGCCATACCGAAGATGGCTTGTTGTTTCAACATCAATCGCAATAGTATCCTTGACCGTATTTTGCAACGTTTTGCCGTAAAACATACAAGGCTATGTTTTAAACAAAGAAGACAAGTAATAAATAATCATTATTTTTTACGTTTGTGACTAAACAAGACGTATTTTCATTCAAGTAAAAAATGTTTAAACTATCTCTAAAACACGGTTAGAATGGAGAATTTCTGTAAAAGTTATGTTTCTCATATTGCACCGAATCCTGTTCCTTTTTTGTGCTACAGCTTTATAAACCACAGATTATAGAATCTTTTTTTTTATCTTGAACAATATTTATTCTCATAATATTTACAAACAGTTATAATAGAATAATTTTACAAACAGGCGTGAATAATCTGAAAATATCGATCCCCTTAGCACGGTACGGAGCCCCTTAGGCGCAATTTTCCGTACTTTTAAAATATTTCGTTTAAACGAAATAACTTAAACGAAAAAACTTTTCGTTTGAACGAATTAATTACTTCATTTAAATGTAAAAATTATTACGTTTAAACAAATTAATTATTTGTTATTATTATTATTATTATTATTAATACATTTTTTATTTCGTTTAAACGAAATATAAACGAAATTATTATTTCGTTTAATCGAATAACTTATTTCGATTAAGAGAAATACTTATTTCGTTTAAACGAAATGCTTGATTGTATTTCGTATATATGAAATAAAAAATCATTTCGTTTAAACGAAATATATGACGTTATTTCGTTTAAACGAAATAATTTTTTTGTTAAAACGAAATATTTTATAAAAATACGGAAAATTGTGCCTAAGGAAATAATTATTTTGTTTGAACGAAATACTTACTTCGTTCAAACGAAATATATGACGTTATTTCGTTTAAACGATTAAATTATTTATAGAAGTACGTAATATTGCGGCTAAGGGGCTCCGCAAATAAATACTTATTTCGTTTAAACAAAATACTTGATAGTATTTCGTAATAAAATATTTCGTTTAAATTAAATAATTATTTCGTTTAAACGAAAAATTGTTTCGTTTAAACGAAATATATGACGTTATTTCGTTTAAACGAAATATATGACGTTATTTCGTTTAAACGAAATATATGACGTTATTTCGTTTAAACGAATTAGTTATTTCGTTTAAACGAATTAGTTATTTCGTTTAAACGAAATACTTATTTCTTAAAACGAAATATTTTATAAAAGTACGGAAAATTGTGCCTAAGGGGCTCCATATTATTTTGTTTAAATGCTATAATTAATTCGTTAAAGGAAAAGTTTCTTCGTTTAAACGAAATATATGATGTTATTTCGTTTAAACAAATTCATTATTTTGTTTAAACAAATTAATTATTTTGTTTAAACAAATTAATTATTTCGTTAAAACGAAATATTTTATAAAAGTATTAAAAATTACGCCTTAGGGGCTCCGTAGTTATTCAATTAAACGAAATAACGAAATGAAAAATGTATTTCGTTTAAACGAAATAATTAATTCGTTTAAACGAAATAATCAATTCGTAAACACTCCGAACTTTAGACATACCGATGCTATGATGAACATTTCAATATACAGCTTCTCTACTTTGGAATTCATTTTCACAAACTGTAAAACATAATCCTTCTTTATATACATTTAAACAAGAACTGAAGAAGTTTGTTCTTACTGACAATACTGATTAATTATTTCCATGGCATTTATAACTAGTCCTTTTGTTTTTCTCACCACTTCATTTTACTTAAAAAAAAACTTAAACCATCATATATATTTAAGGAATGAATGTGGATCTTGTTATCGTTATGGGGAAATAAACGCTGGTTTAGCATGTGACAAGACAAATGACCCGATATCTGTCAATCAAGTTCACCGACCCGCCCCTAACAATATAGTTCTATAAATAGACAGTCTTATTTGGATGATATTTCACGCCACACCATCCAGGGCCGAGTTTCACCGCCATGTCATTCGACCCGACCAGATCTAACAAAGAATCAACAACCAAACCAACAACACCGCATCATCCAATTTGATCCAATCCAACTACCAACTACTACGACTACCAACAACTACATAGTTTGCGATATCAGCATCCGCTGAAAGCGAACGTTAACTTGTCATCTACCTACCTGGATGATAGAATTATCAAATATTTAATATTCCATTGAAATATTAACAACCATTGTAAATTTAAATAAATTGTAAAATTAGATTAGACTCTAGGTAAAAAACTTGGGTCAATCCTTGTTTTCGTTTTATTTTTGTTGCCTTTATCATTTTTTAATTTTAACCCCCACCCCCTTTTTGGTGTGCCTAAATAACATAGTGCTGAATAAAAAAAGGTGTGCCCAAAAAGAGTGTGCCTACTTGAATATGTGCCTAATTGAAGTTTTAACATTTAAAAACAAAATACGAATCTTAACGTTTAATTAATATGCCAATAATTAAATCACGATTCCGTTTACATGGATTGGATTGGATAACAGCGGTCACGTGAATTCGGTTTATATCTGTGTAAACGGAATGTAAATAGAAGTCAGGTACGAGGGGCTGACATGGAAAAAGCGTCTAGTCGTTCGGATGGGACAATAAACCGAGGCCCCGTGTGTTACAGGCTGTGCACGTTAAACATCCCTCGACAGTTGGAAATCGAAAAAGATCAGGCTAATGCCGCTGTCTTGGCAAAATTTCCCTCATAGCACCCTACATGGCGTTGCCCGTCTTCATTAGCCCACATGGTGCAGAAAGGTAGGACGTAAAACTCCATTCATTTCATTTTCATTTCTAGAAACGTTGCTCTTCAGAATGCATTTAGATTGAACCTGATTCTTTGTCTTATCTTTTTGATTTGGTTTTGATTTCAGCCCCACACTTTTTTTAATCTGAATAAGCTCTTTTTTTCGTATTTGCACAAGATAAGCATGGCAATGTATGGAAGATTCGTGCCTAAAGCGGTTAAAGAAGGGCTAATCCTCGGTAAACCATGAAATTACAAGGTAAAGTCCTCGGCAGAAAATCCATACATCATCTTTCTTTTTTAAGTGGTATTCAGTGCTCACATGACAATTTTTGTGACTTTGCAGTTCAATCAATGCCGCCTTAACAGGGGCCGCGGAGCGTCTCCGGAAGTGGAGGCGCCCGTGGTCCGAAAAATCGAAACGACCTCACCTCCACCCTTAGCCCCATACCAAAACTCCTCGGATTTCGGCCCCTCAATTTTCAGATTCAAGACATTATTGTATGGCTCCGCGGCCTCTGCTTAATTACTCTATTTTTTAACTGCACCGTTGTTTATTACCTTTATGGTTGATGGGTATTACATTTATGGTGGGTTTTGGTTATTACATTCATGGTTAAATATTATTACATTTATGGTGAGGTTGGTTATTACATTTATGGTTGATGACTATTACATTTATGGTGGGTATTACATTTACGGTTGATTTTTGTTACATTTATGGTGGGTATTACATTTATAGTGGGTATTACATTTATGGGTAATACAGTTATTATATTTACTAGTACTGTATTACCCATAAATGTAATACACACTATAAATGTAATACCCTGACTATAGCACGATAATGGATAAAAGATCTTTTGGGAAAATAATGACGAGGACAAATTATTCGATTGATAAGATATCATGAATGGCAAATAAGCTTATTATTTCGGGTGTAGGCGATCACTAAATCTTTCCTAAAAACAGTAGGAATTCTTTGTATAGGCGAATAATTAATCGAGGAACTTGGCCATCTGTGCTGTTGTATTGAATAGCAAATGGTATAATTTGAAAGTCTACTTGTATACTCCCCGGTCTTCACCCATTTTTCTCGGGAACCCAAACCTAAGCTTCTTACCTGAACTATGTTAGATTATGGATCAAGAATGCTCTCCTGTGTTCAAACTTTATTTATTATTACATGCAGTTACGTAACATTAATATTATTACTTCTCAATGTATCGTTAATATCGTTTTAGACAAACAAATGTCATTTTTTGTCCTGGACAATTTTTATGCCATGCAGCTTAGGTGTTTGTTTTTGATGAATGTCAACGCTGAAAAGGCCGATTAGCAAACATACGTAATACCAAATCTCGCCAAAACATCCTCTGCCATTGAGTTTTGGATATTAAATACCGCTCAAACTTAGCCAGAATTCCACTGCATATACGTGTTGACATTTCACACATACCACCCATCAATGGACCTCTTTTACCAGTCAACTGGCTACGACATTGTGTTTAGAAGGCATCTAGTTTCAAGCCACGCTGATTGACAAGCGATCATTTCTAAAAATGGATCACGATTTCCAAGAATCCGAGGCCATAGTTCTTACTGTACTGTACTGTACGACCACATACATGTGTTTGCGACCCATGGGACCCTTTGAGTATGTGCTAGCGACACATGATTTGAAGGGGCTTACTCGATAGACGTCAATCTAAATATATTTCGAAAAAATTCTTCAGTCCAATATTCAGTGGTACTGGTTTGAGAGGCTGACATAGAAAAAAATCTAGACGATTGGAAAACCGGAGGCCCGTGTGCTTCAGATTGTGCACGTTAATGATA